CGTGACTAAATCGCTGTCTTAATTGTTTCGATTATAGCTAGCTAATTGCTAGCCAATATCCCACCAAGTAATTGTGAAAGTCCTGCTGCAGGAACTTTTTTTTAAGTTTTATAAACTAAACTGTTTAACTGTTTTTTAATTCATTTTATAAACTTTAGTATGTATTTAATCTTTCTCAATTATTCATCTATGCAATAATCAAAAGGCTTAATCACTTAACATTTGTTTTTTTGTTTTAAATGCATTTTAGATGCTAAAAAAAACTGGTGGAACAGAGCTAGTAGAAACCTCTGCATATGTTATGTCGTGAATGATAAAGGAAATTTTGAAAAATTCGATTCAGAAAATCCTCTATATGTAAAGTTGTTCTCTATAATTCCAACGTTGTGTAATTTTACATTTAAAATGCTAACTATTTTACTATAGTTTTGGCGGTTACAAACCAGGTTACGACATCAGACGATTAGGATACGAATGTAAAAGTTGAAGTTGCATGCACAGGTGCATAAGAATCAGGATTTTTGATAATTTTGATAATTCATAAGGCAGAGAAAACAGTGACCCAAAATATATGTTTATAAGTTTATTAGTAATCTTTGACTTAATCATAATTTAACTTTTTGTTTTTGGTACTGAGATTAATTTCAATAACCATTTGATAAAAATTGTTTTTATAAAATTTCTATTGCAAAAAACTTGAACGTTTAATATTTTTTTTATTATCAAAGCATAAACAAGTATAATGCACTAACATTTTCCTCAAAATCCCCACTTTATGAAAACGTTTTATATAAGTATATAAATTTATTTATAGTTTTGAAAGATAAAAATAAAGTGTAAGTTGTATAATATAAAAGTTTAAAAACATATAATTATAGTAAAAGAAATTATAAAAAATAAGACCAGGTCTTTTATAACTATATCTTATTTAAAAAGTTCAAGACCTATATAGCTTTTATTACTTATATAAAGTTAAAATGTTATAACCTAATTTTTTAGTTAAAGTTATAAAGCTATAACGTAATTTTATTTTATATTAGTTTTTGAACTTAGACAAACTGAAATTACTTTAACTAAATCAAAGAAACTAATAGAAAAGGTTTAAAAGTTTAACATTCGTTAGACTAAATCGTATTCCTTAAATAAATTCCTTAGACTAAATCTAAACGCTTTATATATGTTGATAAGATTAGACTTCAACGTAAATTAGACAAAATCTAAACGCTCTATATACGTATAACAATCCTATAATAGACATCTAAAATACGTTTTAACATTTAATGTTGTGACGTTTTATGGACTTTTGTTCTAAGCGTTAATCTGGATTTCATTGAAAACGGATAGTTGACCGAATCTAAACGTTTTTTTGTCGAAATGTTGTTTTGACGTGTCATTGACATATGTGTGTTTAATCGGTTATGGTTTTAAAATTATATACTACTTATGTTTTCCCCGCTGCTTGAGTTTTGCGCCCCTGAATTAAAGCCCTATTTGAAGAAAGATATTGAAAGACTCAATATCTTTCTTCAAAAAAAAAAGTTGAGTTGCTCTGCGTTAAAAAACTTCAATCCAGAGCAACTAACCTTGTTCCTCGATTAAGATAAAGGAGCTACGAATCACTATTGGGAAAATTACACCTTCAGAAGGAAGAATGAAAGGCTGTTTGATTCAGTGTTTCAAAATCTTCAAAGCATTTTAATGATGTTAAGTTCATAAATCTATATATAAAACCTACTTGTTTTTCAAATTGTCTTGCATATAAAACTTACAAAATAAAATCCCCAACCATGCTATTTTCAGAAAAAAATTTTAAATTGCCTTGTCTTTTTGGTTATTTTTCATATTTTTTCAAAATTTTAAAAACAAATACGATAATTATTTTTGCTTTAAAAAAATAAAGTCTACTATGGCGGACCATTTTGGTTGTCCAGTTAATAAAACTACTTCTACTGCAGATTATTTCTACAATATATAAATATATGTTTATATATATATATATATATATATATATATATATATATATATATATATATATATATATATATATATATATATATATATATATACATATATATATATATATATATATACTATATATATATATATATAATATATATATATATATATATATATATATATATATATATATATAAATATATATATGTATATATATATATATATATATTTATATATATATATATATATATATATATATTATATATATATTATTTATAAAAAAAAAAACTGCATGTTTTTCACAACTATCATTTCATGCTAAATGCAATCATCAGGTGTAAATATGTTTTTTTTCTCGAAAAAATAATAAATCTGTACAAAACAAAATGAGTTAAAAAATCTAATCTTTTGGTTTGTGGTTGTCTAAAAAAACTTGTTCTCATGCGACATTTAGATACTAGTTCGTTTTTTTTGTTTTTAATAATTCTTGAGGATTTTTATACAATAAAATAATTAGTTTTTCGTATAAGCATAACAAGCATTT